GAGACATTGAAGGATGTTATTCAGGCCTTGATTTATTTTCACCCACAACCACCTGTTTTGTTTGGTTTGGTTTTTTTTTTTGTTGTTGTTTTTGAAATCTCCTTGCCCATCATAGTGCTTATGCATAATAGGCTCAAAAACATTTGTTAAATTTAATTGAACCTTGAACATACAAAAATTATCTTCCTCTGTAGTTAGGTAATGAAGCACAAAACTAAAAGAATTTCTTTCATACTCTTCGTGCCCTTCATGTCCACTGTCAATCTTATCACAACATTCCTTGCATCTGTCACCTTCTCTCCACTTGTGTAGCCACTGCTGTAGTTTTAAATTTTTCCAACTTCTTGTCTGAACTATTGGTTTTCTCATTGATCTCCCTACCCCAAGTGTCTCTCCTCTGAAATCCAACTTCCATACAACTGACAAAGTGAGTTTTGTAAAGCTCAGGCAGGTATAACCACATCATTCCTTATTTAATAAATTCCAACAACTTTCTATTAATCACTACTACTACTACTACTACTACTACTACTACTACTACTACTACTACCACCACCACCACTGCTACCACTACTGCAACTACTACTGTTACTACTACTACTGCTACTAGCTAATATCTATATAGTGCTTACCATGTGCCCGGCACTTTACATTTAATATCTCACTTGATCCTCACAACAAACCTGGGAGGTAGATGGTTTTTTATCCCAATTTTACAGATGAGGAAACTGAGACAAACAAAAGTTAAGTGACTTGTCCAGGGTCACACAACTAATAAGTGTCTAAGGCTGGATTTGAACTCAAGTCTTCCTGAATCCAGGCCCAACACTCTATTCACTCTATCTAGAATTGAATACTAACTCCTTTTTACAACCTGGCTCCAATGTTTCCAGTCTTATTACTCCCTTACTCTTTCAAAACCTCTCTTTTCACTTTAGCTGAAAGAGCTGGCTCCCTGGTTCTCACAAATGGCAAACCAGATCTGCTGTCTCCATGTCTTTCCACCAATTGTCCCTTTTGCCTAGAATGTACTTCATCTCTTAGCATCCTTAGTTCCCTTCAAAGCTCATTTCAGGTGTGCTCTCCTACACAAAATCTTTTCTGATTTCCTGCCAGCAGCTAGTGTCTTGTCCCACCACCCCTTCCCCAAAGAAAATACTTACATTTATTTTATATATTCTTATATATGTATATGTTGTCTCCCATCATAGACTATAAGTTATTTGAGGACAGGGAATCTTTCATTTCTGGTTTCTGGCTTCCTTCAAGACTCACTCAAATCTTACCTTTGACAGAAGTTTTCCCACCCCCATCCACATGTGTCCTCCCTCTGAGATTACCATCCGTATCTTCTGTATTTATCTTCTATGTAAATAATTATTTATATGTTGTCTTCATTAAAATAAGAGCTCCTTGAGGGAAGGAACAATAATGTTGCCTCTCTTTGTATCCCCAGCACTTAGCACAGCCTGTCACATAACAAGTATTTAATAAATGTTGGTGAGCAATAAATCTCTTTGTATCACCACCACCACCTAGCACAGGCTCTTAAGAAATGCTTATAGGTTGATTAGTTGGCTGATTGCGGATAATTCCCTCACTGTAAGCTATGACTATCAGTTATGGGAAAGTGAACAAGTAGGAATAGATTATTGAAAGCTAGTGTAATCAGACTTCATAAAGGAGGTGAGGTGTAATTCGATCCTTGAATAATGGGCAAAATTTGGAAAAGTACACTCAACTTCCCCACAGTATACACTCAGCCTTTAAGCTCTCCATTGTGTCTGAAGGAGATCCTCAGCCATTTCATGGGGCTTAGTCTCCTTACATTCTATTCACAGAATCAGAATCACAAAATTCAGGGTCATAAAATTCCACCTTGCCCAACCCATATGGGATGAGGAATCCCAACTGTGTTGTTCAGTCGTTTTGGTCATGTCTGACTCTTTGTGACCCCATTTGGGGGTTTCTTGGCAAAGACCTTGGAGCAGTTTATCATTTCCTTCTCCAGCTCATTTTACAGGTGAAGAACTAAGGCAAATAGGGTTAGTGACTTGCCCAGGGTCACACAGTTGGTAAGTGTCTGAGGCCACATTTGAACTCAGGAAGATGAGTCTTCCTGACTCCAGGCCTGGCACTCTATCCACTGTTGCCACCTGGCTGCTTCAGCTATAACACATCTGAAAAGTGGGCACCCAGCCTCTGCTCAAAAACCTCCAAGGAGGGGAAGCTCACCACCTCCTCAGGCAGCCATTCCACTCCATTCTACTTTTAGATAGCCCTCATTTAACATTTAGCAATCTACTTAAGCATAACAAATGTTTCATAGAGATGGATTAACCTGCCAAGTAGAAGGGGAATTTTCCTATCTTTGATAACCAAAGTTCACTTGCCTAATAAACACAAGGACTAAGGCTGATACAAAAAAACAGAAAATGGAAAAGGATAGATAAAAGGGTTCTCATCCCTACAGTTCAGTCCTAACATTTTCTTATGGGAATATGGAAAGCATCTGTGAATTTGTGAGCCCGAGGAGCTCTTGATACAGCACTTCCTTCCACCAATTAACCAAAAAGAATTGAGATGCAGATTGGGAGCTAAGCTGTACATCACAATTTCCTAGGACTTAGGGTGCACATTACTTGGGAAAAAAATAATAATTTTGATAAGCTTTATTTTGTGATAGTAATAGTCATGTTCGTGTGCTTCTACTGACACTAAGTTGACTCAGAAGTCAGAACTTGAGGATATGAGGCTGAAGTGAGCTGGTTTTCCCACTTTTAGCTAGTTCTCCATCAGCTGAGTGCTTGATTTCATGACAAACACATTTCATTTCTTTCTTTTGTTGTGCTTGTGTTACGAGGTTTACAAGAATTAATATTAGAGCAAGGAAATGTGCAAGTGTATCTCCTTAAGAGCATGGTTCAATGACTCTTAGAGATACAATAGCAATGGTGTGAGAAAGTCAAAAGCTTCAAGGATCATTCAAGCCTATAATGAAACAGGATCATTCACACCAAATGGACAGAAATGGTGAACAAAAAACAAAACATAGTGCTAAAGAGATAATAAGCTATTGCTACAAAATATCTTAATCCTCAGAAAACAAGCAGGTAAAGTGGATAGAGTGGTAAACTTAGCATCAGGAAAACCTGAGTTCAAATCCTTCAAACACTTAATAGTTGTATGACCTTGGGCAATACACTTAACCTCTCTCAGCTTCAGTTTACTCATCTCTAAAATAGGTATCTTGATAACACTTAACTCCCAGGGTTGTTGTGAAGATCAAGTGAAATAGCATATGTAAAGTGCTTTCTTAACTTAGAGTATAACATAGGATTCCTGAAGTTGGAAAAAAGAAAAAAAAAAAGCAAGAAGACCAGACGGAAAAAAATAGTTGCCAATCTTTACATAAAAAAAAAAAAATGCTTGTAATGTGCAAGACAATACGAAGACTGGAATATCAAATATTGGAGGAAAAGCAATGTTTTTGGATGAAACTTACCTTTTCATTCAAAGTGCCATTGTTAAGAGAAATGCAGGTAAGCCTGTAAGATGGGGGCATCTACCATAAAATACCCACCAAAAAAATGTTTTAAGGTGTTTTTTTTACTTCCAGCAGAGTTGCAAGACCAGTCCCTATTGAGCAAATGACAAACTCTCAGAAATCTGCTGGTATACTAATAAGCAGAATGGTTATAGAATTACAGAAATTCCTAAATGGAAATGGAATATTGCAACTTAACTATGTACCATTCCACACGTCATGAAAGGCCGAGAAGTTTATCCAAGAGAAGACAAGTATGATTTGATGGCCTACGAACTAGACAACATTTAGACAACAATGAAAATCTAATCAAGACTAGACCTAAAAAACTGGACTGCTAATCAAAGGTACTTTTCATATCCAATTGAATTAAGGTTTAGTTTCACAGTGAAGAATTAAATACAGGTTTCAAAATCTTGTTAACTCAATGCCAAATCCAGAAAATAAGTGATTACGGCAAAATGCTGGCATCTTGCATAGCAAAAGTTTTTATTTTTAAGATGTAAAAAGCCGTATTGTTTACTATAAGTCAACAGCCTTAATGATTTTTCTTTGTCCCAGTTAATTTGCACAAGACCATAGTAATGAAGGGCTGCCTAAAGCATACAGCTAAGAAACATCATAGGTGGTAAGCCTGACATTCTATCCATTATGCCATGCAGCCTTTATAATACTTTCTTAGAAGTAAGAAGATGAAGACAAAGGTCAAGGAAAGACAAAATAGGGAACCTGTATTCTCTCACCACTTTGATGTTCAATCATCTTTCAGTCATGTCTGACTCTTCATTACCCCATTTGGGATTCTCTTGGCAAAGATACTGGAATGGTTTGCCATTTCCTTCTCCAGCTCACTGTAAAAATGAGGAAGCTGAGGCCATCAGGGTTAAGTAACTTGCCCAGGGTCACATAGCTAGTAAGTATACTGAACATGAGCCTTCCCTATTCCAAGTCCAGTGCTCTATCCACTGCACCATCTAGCTGCCATTACCATTATAAAGTATATACCCTTCCTTTCTTTTAAACTATAAAGTACAAGATTCATGATAATGTCATAGATCTAAACTGGAAGGAACCTTAGACATCATCTAGTCCAAATATCTCATTTTTCAGTTGAGGAAATTGAGGCACAGAGAGATTGTGATTTGTCCAAGACCACATAGGCAGAAAATGACAGAAGGATTCAAATTCAGGTTTTATAATGTCAAGTTCATTCCTCTTCCTGTGGGAGATCATTAAAGTGACCTGTACCATCAGTTGCAATCACTCTTTTAGGTAATTTTATTTAACTTTTTTAGGGCATATACTTTAGGAAGAGGAGTAATTTGTATTTGTCGGGTGATGTCTCCTCTACCAAAATAAACCATAAGGTAAAAGAAAAGAAAGCAACCAATAACAAGTAAGGCAGAGAAAAGTATTTGACAGACAGGGAACGAGGCAGGAATTAGATAATCACCTGCTAAATTTCTATCTGCAACAATAATTTCATCTATGTAGAACTGGCTCTTCTCATGGACTTGGGGAAACACATCAATCTGATGCACCAGCACAGGGGAGTTGGCCAGATGGCGGTGGAGGCCCTCAGAGTGACGCACGCATGACTCCCAGAGGTCATGACAGACAAACTTCCAGCTGAAAAACAACAGACAGGGTGAAAGTTGACCTCACCTGATAAGTAGCAGAGGTGACCTGAAGGATCACCTAGCAACCCCTCTTCTTTGGGAATGGGGCAACTGAGTTTGGGAGGGTGGGATTTAAGTAGCAATTCTCAGAAACTTTCAGTCTCTTGATTACTTGGATGGAAAAAAGATCCCTGACATGAGTTAACCTACCAAATTATTTACCACTGGGGGAAAAAAAAAGTCTTACTCTAGTGAAGTTTCTTAACCTGGGGTCCATGGATCTGCAATGGGTCCATGAATATATTTCTTTTGTTTTGTTTTTGGCAAGGCAATTGGAGTTAAGCGACTTGCCCAGGGTCACACAGCTAGTGTTAAGTGTCTGGTCTGAGATCGGATTTGAACTATCCACTACTCCACCTAGCTGCCCCTCCATGAATATATTTCAAAGGGCATCTGTGAATTTGGATGAGGAGAAAAATCATCTTTATTTTCACTAAAGATTTGGCATTTTATTCTATTATGAATTTTTTTTAAAAAAAACATTTTGAGAAAGGGTCCATAGCCATCACCAGACTGCCAAAGGGGGTCCATGACACCAAAAAGAGTAAAAACTTTTACATTAGAATGAATGGGAAGCAAGACACCGTTCTTTGATGAGCACTCTCTTCAGTTAGTAATTATTGATTCATGCCTGAAACAAAAGAGTGAATGCCTTCATGCGACATCCTACCAGAGAGCATAAATAAGCATTACAAGGTCCCAGCCTACGTGATATGTGAAATGCTCTTGAGGACTACACTTTAAAGATTCATCTCAGACTCCTAAATCTTCTTTGGACAATAGTTTACCATAGGCACTTGTGCTCTCTATTGCACTCCTCTGTGAATGTTACAAAAAATTAATCAAGCAAGCATTTATTAAGCATCTTATATGTACTGAGCACTGTGCTAGGTTCTGGAGAAGCAAAGGCCAAAACAATCCTTGCCCTCGAGAAGCTTACATGTTATTTGGGGAAACATTATTTGGAGTCAGAGGGCTTTGGATCACATTTTGGCTCTTTCATTTACTACCTATGTGATCTTGAGGAAGTCACCTCCCTAATCAGGGGCTTGGCTTTGTCATCTTTAAAATGAAAGAGTTGGACTAAATGACTTCTATATTTTCATCCAATTTTAAATTTAAATTCTATTGTCTTATGATCCTATGGGAAATATCTACAAAGTAAATGCAAAGTGAGTGGAGGATGGAGGCACTACCAACTGGGAGGGATTGGGAAAGATCTCATGGTAGTTGAGCTAAGCTTTTGAGGAAGCTAGAGATTCTGGGGGCAACTAGTTGGTACAGTGGATAGAGTACCAGACCTGGAGTCTAGAAGACTCATCTTCCAGAGTTCAAATCTGGCCTCAGACACTCACTAGCTGTGTGACCCTGAGCAAGTCACTCAACCTTGTTTGCCTCAGTTTCCTCATTTGAAAAATGAGCTGGAGAAGAAAATGGCAAACTGATACAGTACCTCTGCCAAGAAAATCCCAAATAGGGTCACAAAGAGTTGGACACAATTGGAAAAAATGAATAAAGAGATTCTTTATTCAGGAGGCAGAGGTGAGGAGAGAGTGCTTTCCACCAGGTGTGCTGAGGAATTCCACTATACTACCAATACTGATAAGTCAAGAATAGGAGGACAGCCTAAACAAAGTCAAAGAGATGGGAGATGAATCCCTATGTTCAGTGAACAGGCAAGTCTGGCTAAAAAGTAGAGTTCATGAAAGAGATTATTGTGTAATAATCTTGGAAAGTAAGGCTGGAGACAATGTCAAGGATTTTAAACATTCGAGAAATTTTTTCCTTCATCCTAGAGGCAATTGGGAGCCACTGGAGTTTTTTGAGCAAAGAAATAACATGGTCAGGCTTGTGCATTAGGAAAATAAATTTGTCAGTTGTGTGAGTCTGAATTAGGTAGGAGAAAGACAAGAGGAAGGTAAAGCAAGTCAACGCTATGGAAATGCCAACCATGACTGGTATCATTTATGTTATAGCCATATCCGTGATTGCTATAAGGGTAGAGACTTACTGCTTTGGATTCTCATCTTTAATCTGTCATCAACTCACTATGTAACCCTGGGGAGGGTCCTATCTGACTTCATTTTCCTTATCTATAAAATGGAGTTTGAATAAATCACTCCTAGGATCTTATCTAGCGCTAACATTCTATGGTTCCATGTATATAAGAAATAGTGTCATCCTCTAGGAAGGATACTTTTTCTCAAGATTTAAATTTGTTAACTATTATTAATAGTAATAAATTTCTTTTATTTTGACCCTCTACTGATCATAATGGATTATGGGATCATAATGCCCAAAGTACAATCAGACATTATAAACAGCTGTTACTCTAGGTGTGTTGTTACCCTTGCCCTAAGGAAACATGAACCCCAACTCTCTGAATTCAAACAGAACTTCTCTCCTAAATTAAATACCTTTCAGTCCTCAGCTGCTCTGGATTCCATCCACAGACAATCTTCTTCTTTACAGTCTTATGAAATGTACTTGTGAAGGATATTGAGATGGTCATGGTATCATTCATATGGCCTTTATATGCAAAGCACAGCTAGAGATAGAATTCAACATAGAAATGTTGATTAATTCAAGCAACAATCATTCATCAAGTATTTACTGAACATCTACTATTTGACTAACACTGGACTAAACATTAAGAGATAGAGATAGATAGGTAGATAGATACACATGAAGAGGTAGATAGATAGGTATATATGTAGGTAGACAGAGGTATAGAGATAGGTAGATAAATAGATACATAGAAAAAATAGAAAGAGATAGGTAGGTAGATAAGTAGATAGAATTCTTGGGGTAATATAAATATAGAATGGATAAGGATAATAATATTAATAGCTAGCAATTATATAATACTTTAAGGCTTGCAAAATACCTTATGTTCTTATTTGATCCTCACAATAACTTTATGAAGTAAGTGCTATTTTTATCATTATTTTACATATGAGAAAACTGAGGTTCAGAGAAATTAAGTGACTTGCCCAGGGTCACAGAGCTAGTAAGTGTCTGAAGCTGGATTTGAACTCATCTTCATGACTGTAAGGCCAATGCATTACAGCAGCTAGCCGGATAGGGGCAGAATCAATGATTTCACTGGTATAGAGCAGCAGTTTTCAGAGTATAGCCCTGGGTCCTCTGGGGCCCCAAGCTCATTTTGGGGGAGGGGTGCAGTCCGAACTATTACATTCTTAAAAATTATTAAGGACCTCAAAGAACTTTTGTTTATATGAGTAGTAACTATTGATACTTACTTTATTAGTAAGGGAGTCTTATTACCAAAAAGTCTGAGAGCTGCTAGCATAACCTTTTCTGAAACTTACAGTTGAGTTGCCTAGATCACTGAAAGGTTAAGTGACTTGCCCAGGGTCACACAGGCATTATTTACAATGTTAGGCACACAATATGTTAGGCTCTCACTCCACTTTATATCTACTACTCTGCTTGGTTTCAGCTCCACAGAATAAGATGCCCCATCCAGAATAAGCTCATCATTTCTACATCCATGCTGCTAACTCAAGCCTTGATTGACACCTCCTTCAGCCACATCTCCCCTCTGATTGGAGGGCTAGAGGGCAGAGTACTAAGCTCCTCCTGATGCCTTCCTTTATAGAGGGAAGAAACAGGACTCAGTTCACTCCACTTTGAACCTGCTGCTCTATTTGGTTTCAACTCCAGGGAGCCAAATGAGCTCTTGCTGGGTACACCCTGGTGTCCCACCCCACCTCCTTTCCTACTTCCTTTTGTGTATTTTGTTGTTCATTTGTTTTTCAGTCACGTCCGAGTGTTCATGATCCCATTTGTGGTTTTCTTGGCAGAAATACTAAAATTTCTAAAATACTAAAATACAAAAATTTCTTTTTCCAGCTCATCTGACAGATGAGGAAACTCAGGCAAACAAGATTAAGTGACTTGCCTAGGGTCGCATAGCTACTAAATGTCTGAGGCCATATTTGAATTCAAGAAGAGTCTTCCTGACTCCAAGCCCGGCACTCTATCCACTATGCCACCTAGTGTATTATCTCCCCCATTAGACTGTACGCTCCTTGGAAGGAAGGACTGTCTTTCTTTTTATTAATTTTATCCTCATTACTTAGCACAATGCCTGGCATATAGTAGGTACCTGATAAATGTTTATTGGACTGGGTTATTGGATTGTATATGTCTGTAACTATGTCTGTCTGATCTATCTAGAGTGGATTAAGGGAGGAAGGAGTAGCAAAAGAGACTAGAGGCAGGAAAGGCCGTTGTATTAATCAAGGCACGAGGCAGTAAGGACTAAGACTAGGGAGGTAACTGTTAGAATGCAGAGACATGGGCAAATCACACATTTTGGAGGGAGAATTATTAGTATTTAGGGATAAGTTGATTATTGAGGATGAAAAGAGATGATGTCAAGGATCAAAAGTGTCAATTGTTGAAAAACAATCAATAAATAATAAAAAAAAAAAAGTCTCGACTTGGAAAGGTTCAAGTACCAAGTCATAATAGAGCCCAAACAGCTCGGGGACTAGATATCACTCCCATACACTCATTAACCAAGACAAGATGTGGTCTCCATTCATCTCCTTCCAAAGGACACATCTTTCTTTTGTGAAGATCAAAGTTCTTGAACCAAAGGATTAAGGGTTGCAAAGGCAATGGCATTATTTCCACCTTCTAGAGCTGCTGACATTGTGATAAGAGAAAGTATTGCAGAATATATAAACTTCCACAGGAAGGAGGGAGGTAGCATGGGACCATGGAAGGAGTGCTGCGTTTGGAGTCAGAGGACTTGGGTTTGAATCTGGACTCTGACACTATCTTTATAAACTTTGGGTGAAGTTATAAACTTAATTTAATTATATTGTTATAGATTATATTATTATGGTAAATTATACATGTTATACATTACATATAAATATATCACATATTGCATACATTATGATATATATTCACATATATTATATTTTATCCCATTTTATTATATATTTAATATGTAATAGTATATGTTTATTTCTATTATAATATATAACATGTTATAAATTATATATAAATTACATTATTATAAACTTAATTTTTCTGGGCCTCAGTTTCCTAATCTGCAAAATGAGGAGTTTGGACAAAAAAAAATCTATAATCCTATGGTTTACTAGTTATGATGATGATGATGGTTATCATAATAAAAACTGGTGTTTACATAGCACATTAAGAAATAGAAAAGCACTCAATACTATTTCATTTGATTCTCACAGGAATCCCTTGAGGTAAATACTATTATTACCATTTTAGAGATGAGAAAACTAGGCTTACTACTTAGGTAACCTTAGGCAAGTTGCTGAGCCTCCTTAATACTCAGTTCCCTCATCCATCAAACGAGAGGTTTAGACAAGATATCCTCTATGGTCCTCTCTAGATCTCATTCTATGAACCTATTGTCCTATATATAAGAGGTTTGCAATGATGGTCCCAGAAGTTTGTGCTAAAAACTCATTGATGGTACCTTAATCAGTAAAAAAAAATAAATCCCCAATCACATTACAAATATATTTTTCCTCCATGGTAGTGAACATATGCATGTTCATTTCTGCAACAATTTGAAATTAACACAATCATGATGTTAGTGTTCATGCAGCAATTAAATCAAACCCTAATGGCAAAAGTTATTGCTCTTACTTCAAGAACTTAATGAACAAATCTAAAAGAATATTGTCAGTAATATTAAACTACTCAGGGCATTCACAGCACATTTTTGTTATTGTGGCTGTTGAAAGGAGTTTGGAGAACAAAAAAGCTTTGGGAACCACCATCCTATAAGTTAAAATTGAGGTTGAGAGAATTAAGTAAATTTTCCATGGTCACACAGTTATTAAGTGTCAGAAACAGGATTTAAACCCAACTATCTCCTGACTCCAAGTTCAGAGCATAGTAATCAATGATCATACATTGGTCACAGCTCTAAGGTAATAGTCAAGTAAACTGGATCTTGCCATTGCCAAAAAAATCTTAGCAATAATTACTTTGTGCCTCAGTTTCCCAGCCTCTAACAAGGGAAATAATGTCTATTCTGGTGACTTCTTCACATGGATTTTTTTTTCAGGAAGAAGTGAGAAGAGGCCTGAAATAGAAATTGTGCTATGACTTACATGTGTATATTGACCAAGCTGATATCTCATCTGCATGGCTTCTGATGTTCTGACAAGGTATTGAGGCTGACGGATGCTGAACCTTCCACAGAAGGGCTCTGTCCCACTGCTAAGGTCCCCATCAGGACCAGAATCCTGTAGACCTGGTGGTAGTCAGGATACAAAGAAAGATGGGTGAGGTTAAAGAGAAAGAAGTGGTCAGAGAAGACTGGAAGGATGAGTGGGAACATGTTAGAAAAAAAATAGAATATATTTTCAGATTCAAAAGTATTTTCTCGCTCATCAAATTTACTTAGGCTTTTTAAAGAATTTCTCCTTTATATTCATATTCTATCTTATCCTATACTTTATTTCTGTATTACATACTCTCATGACATTTAATTTTAATTTGTACATTATCTCCATCACTTTCTTAAGTCTAGATAATCAACAAAACAATAAACCAAGACCTGATTTGTAACATTTGCCTATTTCTGAGGTGTAAATGCTTACACAGGGCAGCTAGGTGTTGCAATAGATAGAATGCTGGGCCTGAAGTCAGAAAGACTCATCTTCCTGAGCTCAAATCTGGCCTCAGACACTTACTACCTGTGTGAGCCTGGGAAAGTCACTTAACCCTGTTTGCCTCAGTTTCCTCATCTGTAAAATGAGCTGGAGAAGGAAATGTCAAACCACTCCAGTATCTTTGTCAAGAAAACCCCAAACAGGGTCACAAGAAGCTTGGACACAACTGAACAACAGTAAATGCCTATGCTGAAAATTTAACAACTGCCTCTCCGTAGCTATTTTGAGCTTGTTCCAGTACACTCTTGTATGATATTCCCTATTAGAATATCAGCCTCTTGGAGCAGCTAGGTGGCGCAGTGGATAGAGCACTGACCCTGGAGTCAAGAGGACCTAAGTTCAAATCCAACCTCAGACACATAACACTTCCTAGCTGTGTGACCCTGGGCAAGTCACTTAACGCCATTGACAAGCCCCCCAAAAATAAAAAAAATAAAAAGAATGTCAGCCCCTTGAGAGCAGCAACCAAATTCTTTTCTCTGTAATATATATATATATATATATATATATATATATATATATATATATATATATATATATATATATATATATATATAAATAATGCCTAACACAATACACTCACGTTATAAAAGTTTGCTGAACACTTTCCAAAGGGCTTGCCATGGAAGTGGATTTGGTGGCAAAGGAAGGGCCAAAATTACTCAATATTTTCAAGTACAATACCCATGGGAACAGATTCACTTTATTCAACAAAAATAAGTTCAAACATAAGGCTATAAAAGCAAAACCAATATGGAGAATTCACTCCAAGTGACAGTAAATACAAATAAATCATATTTATTTAACACGATATACACAAAGTCAAATTTGAGTTTGATTATGTTAAATCTTTACGTAGATGACAGGCCAACTAGGTGGTCCAGTGGATAGAACGCTAGGCTTGGAATCAGGAAGACTCATCTTTGAGAGTTCAAATCCTGCCTCAAACATTTACCAGCTGTGTGACTCTGGGCAAATCACTTAACCTCATCTGTAAAACAAGGTTAACAATGCCTAGAGTGCCTTTCTTCCGCGATTGCTATTATTTGCTCCAATTGAAATAATATATACAGGGTACTTTGCAAAATTGTAAGCTCATATAGGAGGATCTATAACACCACAACAATATGCATATAATTGACATCAGTATATTGTTCAATTGAAATAACATATGCAGAATACTTTGCAAACTTTCAGGTGATCTGTAAGGACATATATTAAGACTATATATATACATGTATAAGATAACTAACATTTATATATTGCTCGAAAGTCTGCAAAGTACTCTGAATATGTTATCTTAATTGGATTTTACAACATCCCCATAGAGTAGGCATATATCTTTTAAAGACTTAGTGAAATGATTTGCCCATGGTCACAATCTAGAAAGTGGTAACGCAGGATTTATGTTTATTTCCTGATATTAGGGGGAGGGGGAAGGCAGAAGTACCATGTGTTCACAGTTAAGGTGCTATACGCAACAATTAAGTTGTTTATTATTTCCTGATTCTAGGCGAATGATTATTCTGAGAGGGAAATGTCCAGGCAACCATGTGGGTTTGGAAGACCTATTTGAGTCATCAGGGGATCCAGCAGGAGCCAGAATCAATCACTGGTAGAGTCTTCCAGAAGCAATAATAATAATATATAACCTGTAGATACCAGAGTGATAGTAGCCAATAACAAAGGAAGTACCCACAGATGGGTAAAAGATGCTTTTTCACTTGAAAAGCCACCCAAAGAAGTCATGGTTTCGTGACCCCTCATGGCAGGGATAAGTGATCTATGCCTGATTCATGAAACCCAAAAGAGAGTTGCACTTAGGGATGAATTACATGAGATCTCCACAAAGGAATATAAAGATTGCCAGAGGCAGAAGTTTAGAGGGACCTTTTGGGTCTGTGCATTCTATACATGTGTGACTCATTACATTTATACTTTAATCTTGAGCCCACTCTCCCAGGGATTTTATTCAAAGGAAGATCGTACCTCTGTTTTAAAGGGCATTGTTTTATGACAACTATTCTAGCTATATTTGCTCAGCAAATCCTTTTTCTTTTTTTCTTTTCTTTCTTTTTTTTTAATTAGGCAATTGGGGTTAAGCGACTTGCCCAGGGTCACACAGCTAGAAAGTGTCAAGTGTTTGGTCTGAGACCGGATTTGAACTCAGGTCCTCCTGACTTCAGCGCCAGTGCTCTATCCACTGCGCCACCTAGGTGCCCCAGCAAATCCTTTTTCTATAAGCCAATAGAGTTCGAGTGGCTTATTGATAATGAGGACTTCTGTGGGAATTAATGGATACCAGCACTAGAAACTCCAGCCCCTTTAGGTTATGCCTAGAACCCTCAGGGTTAGCCAAGCTCTGGGGACCTAGGCCACCAATTTGAGTGCAAGTCGGGGGAATGATTCTAGAGAATTTGTTACAATTAAAAGGGCAGGTCAATGACTTAGTTATCATTTCCAAATACAAAGTTTAGAAACCACTTTCTTACTTGTTTAAAAAAAAATACAGCCCTAAAACCCAGGCAATATGATAATTGGTTATGATTGTTTCCTTCTATAGCACTTTTCTTTTTGCAAGGCACAAATCTAAAGAGCCTAAAGGTTCACAGCTTCCTATATTTATTCTTTGCCCTTTCTCTTGGTCTGCGGTATTTCACCTTCTCAAGAATGGACAATAAACAACTTTTCTTTCTAACAACATAGCATCTTCTCATTGCAATACTCTTGGCCCGACACATTCATTGACATTTTTTTAGCGTCCTTAAAGGGAGATAAGCATTATGCCTATAATTTTACAGAACTAGGAAGAGGGAATTGAAGAGAAAAAGGCTCATAATCCACCAAAGCCAAGACAACACCTTGTTCAAATCCAAAATGGAGAAGAATTTGAGCTGAAAGTGGTTCCAGTTTGCATTTTACTGTAAGCAGTTCTTCTATCGCCGCTTGGATCTGTCAAAAAGAAAAACGCCTGCAGTTATTACTGTAAAAAGAAAAATCAGGAATCAAGGAAGGCTCCAGTGACATAGAGGAAGAGTAGGCTCGCACCTGAGCAGCGGTGGCATTTACGGTTACTGGCTGGCTGGAGACACCATCCCAGGAGAGGCAAAATTTTCCTGTGCCAGTCACATTTAGCATCTGAAAGTGCAAGAGAGACAAGAAGAAATAATTCAGACTAATTCGAATTGATTTCACCTTTATCATTTCCTTTTCAACAACTATTATTTTGATTTTCCGCATTGCCCAGCACACTATAAACACTCAATAAGGATTTATTGAATTGAATTGAATTGAATTGAATTTCAGTATTTAAAATTCAACCATCAATTAGAAACTAATGGCAGTTTTTAGCAGCTGGGTGGTGCAGCGTATAGCCTGGCCTGGAGTCAAGAAGACTCATCTTCATGAGTTCAAATCTGGCCTCAAACACCTACTAGCTGTGTGACCCTGGGCAGGTCACTTAACTCTGTTGGCCTCAGTTTCCTCACCTGCAAAATGAGCTGGAGAAAAAACTGACCAAGCACTCTAGTATCTTTGCCCCAAAAAGGGCGTCATGAAGAGTCAGACACGATTGAAAGGCCCAAACAACAACAAAAAAGGGGCAGTTTGGCTTTCATCCATTTAGTGAATGCCTTTCTTGCCATGAACCTGAGTCTGTCTTTACATTTTATGTGTCTTTCTTGTCTTGAGAGTGTTGGGTTCAAATGCTATTATTCAAAGACCTCTTTAAATCTTGCTAAATAGATGGTCTCATTCCATGGCAATCTCCTTTGTTGAAAGAGCAACATTCTAGGTCATAGATTTGGGGCCAGAAAGTACCTTAGAATAAATCAAGTCCAATACTTTCATTTAACATATGAGAAAATCCTATAAGATGAATGTGAGTAATTTATATACTGAATTCTTTTCTATAGAATAAAACAGCCAGTATCCTTTGCCTTTTACAAGATAGGGACAAGCCAAAAGAACTAGGGCATGCAGGATCTGGGTCCATCCAGAAAGCAAAGGCTACAGATCAAGGAAACTGATGGGTGATGAGTTCCAGACCCCTACCCTTATTGAGTGAAGGCAACGAGTATCCAAGACAAGGTTTACCCAGAACTTAGTCTTAAAACCAAGAGAAGCCAAACAAAACAGTACAATGGTCATATAAATAATACTTTTCTTTCCCGTTTCATTTTTCTTTCTTCCTTTCTTTCTTCCTTCCTTCTTCCTTTCTTTCTTCACATGTATCTCCTCATCTTGTTCACAATAGAAGCTCAGAGGCTACTCAGGGGACAATACCCCTACAGATCCACCTAGAAGCTTTCACCTGTTTTATTTCTAACATAGGCCAATTTACCCCTCTTTGGGCAACCCAGTGCCCCCTGCCCCAGTCCCCAATCTCCTATAAGGCTCACCATACTGATACCAAATTTAGTGCAAACACATGATCAACAACATAGACCATTGCAGCTCAGAATATCTGAGTGCAGGAGGTCTGCCAGCCTCAGCTTCCCTTGTAGCTGGAATTACAGACTTGTGCCAGCACCTCGTTCAGAAATAATACTTTTGCAAGATACTTTCATAACTATCATCCCATTTATCTTCATAACAGGTCTGGAAAAGATAATTAATTAAATTAATAAATAATTTGATCAATAATATTATTATAATTAATTAAATAGGAGAGCAGGTGCTATCCTTTTATATAATCAGGAAATTGAAGTTTAAGGTAAGAAGATGATTTGCCCAAAGTCACACAGCTAGGACTAAAGCCTAGGTCTCCTGACTCCCAGTTTCATGTCATTTCCATTAGGCCATGACTACCCCACTTCCAGAGCTGGGCCCTTGCGTTAGCTTAAGTCTCAATAGATATCAAAGGTAAAACTGACCTGTATCTCTGGGAGCCTCTGAGCATTGGCTCGGATCTGGAGTTTCTCCCGATGGTAGGTGTTGACCACATCAGGATTCAGCCAGGTGTTGTGGATCTGGACTCCGATGCTCATCCCACGACTGGGAGTTATGCCATAGTGTTCAGCTTCCAGGTAGTACTTTGCCCCACCAGACAATTTCAACTTCAGGGACTTCTGTTGCCAGGTCTCCAAATGCCCATTAGTCTCCCAGGAATCAAACCAGTCAGCTATGCCAGCCTGAATAAAAGCTACTTTCACCTGTATCCAAATAAATACCCCCAAATGAAAACTCTTGAGCTCTCAGGTCTCTCCTCCCATCCCCAGGCAGTAAGTGACCAGACATCCCTTAAAGAACAATTGGGATGTTCTCTCCTTAAAATGACAAGAAAACCAGATTATTCATCCATTAGGCTTGACACAGGCATCTCTGGGAAATGTAGATAGTTTGTGTCTTCATATCTCTCTGCTTCTCTTTTTCATTTCCCTTAGAATGCCAAGAAAACCACTAAGAAGAATCAGAAGATAACTTTATCATGATACGGAAAGAATATTCAACTGGGAGACTGGACACATAGGATCCAAGTTTAAATCCTAGTTCTGCCGTTTACTACCTGTATGACTTTGGACAAGTTCCTTAGTCTTTTGTAACTCCCTTTTCCCCATTTGTTTTCTCATCTTTAACATAAAGAGGCTGGGCTAAATGACCTCTGAAGTACCTTCTGCCTCTATCTATAATCCTATGTGATGTTGGACAAGTCCCTTAGCCTACTGGGACCTGTTTCCCCATCTATAAAATAAAAAGTTTGGACTAGCTAACCTGTGAGGTTCTGGTTCTCCATCTAATATTGCCCTAAGACAAGGACAATGTTACTTCCTGTGTACTATAGGTGAAGCCTGGGATCTCCTAGAGAATGCCACGCTGATCAGATCCTTGCTACAGGAAAGCCCAATCATTCTCAGCTCCATTCCATTGTCCTGGACATTTTCCAAGCTTTTGATAGAAATGAGCAAAGTAAAAAGTTACAAGGAAACAGAATTAGGTAAGGAAAACTTTCCTATCAATTAAAGCTACCCAAAAACAGGAGTAACTATGTCTGGAAAGTATAGATCTAGAGCTAGGATGGACCATAGAAATACCTGAGCTTCACCCCCTCAATTTTTAAATGAAGAAACTGAAGCCAAGAGATCAAGTGACTTGCCCAGGGTCATATAGTTAATAAGCAACTGAGATAGGATTTGAACTCAGTTCTTCCCAAATGAATTGCTCCTTGCCCACAGTTTTCAAGAAAAGGCTGGATGAACATTTCTTATATTAGCAAATGGGCTGTATTAGACAGCCTCTAAGGGACCTTCCAAGTCTTCTGTGATTCTGTGATGGCTTTCCTTGTTTGCAAGCATGACTAAAAGAAAAACTGGGCTTATCCTAGATGTATCAAATAAAGAATTCAAACATCTAGTTTGAGTGACCCAAAGTCGTCCTACAGCTGTATGTTGCTCTTCAGAACTTCACTCATATAATGGAAACAAGATAAGAAAAAAATGCCACTGTGAATTGTATAAATGGATATATTACATGGTAGAAACACATGAGGGCACTCTAACCAACCAGCAAAAATTTTAGACTGAGACTTTGAGAGTCTTGGGAGAGATATTAGAATCAAAGTGTCATAGATTTATATCTAGAAGGCACCTTAAAGGTCATCTAGCCCAATCTTCTCATTTTATAAGTGAGTAAACTGAGACTTAAAGATGTAAGTCAACTGCCCAAGGTCAGACCAGGTCAAAGGTCACCAAGTGGTAGAGCCAGAATTCAAACCCAGGCCCCCTGACTCCAATCACATCAGTTTAAAGATTATTTTGTTCCCATCGCATCAAATTAAAATTTTAAATAAAAACCAAACCAAAAGAAAACTAAAAATACCTTTTGTCAATGACACAGTGAATTCCTTCTTATAATCTTTGTTGAAGATTCTCCCTCTATTCTGGGTGGCACCATTTCTAATCCTTTGAGTCTAAGCAGTACCTTCCCAAAGAGGGCTTCTGAGATCCCTAGGGCACAAGGGTAGTGTAGGAGGGGGAGAGCTGCCAAAATTTTCTTTCTGAACCAATATCTGAGAGTGGATTATTTATACTGAGCTATCCCACCATCAAAAGTCCATGGTTTTGTGGCCTTTTTTTGAGGAGTAGTGATGGGTTAGTAGGGACAGGATGAAAGAAGAGAGCGAATATGGAGCGAAGGGTACCTTGGTCCCTGGATCTTCTGATTGACTGAAGTACAAAGAGGCTGGGCTATCTGCCTGGATCCAAAAAGTGTAGTTATTTGTCTCTGGGGCAACAAAGAATCCACTGAGCCGAGCCCTGGAAAGTAGAGGAAACACCAATGTCATGGGAGAAGCCAAATCTCAAGGCCTTTCACAAATAGTGTCTCTTTCCTCATGTTTTACTTGATGGTGATAAGGAAGAAAAACTTTATTCCTGCCTCACCTGACTAGGGTCCTCTTAAAAAATCATTCATGTAGAAATGGACTAGGCTCAGAGTCTCCAGTGCAAGAAAGAAAAAAAAAGAAAAAAGAAAGAAGGAAGGAAGGAAAGAAAGAAAGAAGAGAAAGGAAGGAAGGAGGAAAAAAGGAAGAAAAGAGAGCAGAAGGAGAGAGAAAGGAAGGAAGAAAAGAAGGAAGGAAGAAAAAAGAAGGAAGAGAAAAGAAGGTTCTGTTGCTACCTTTTGTTTTTATATCACAGTGACATATCCCACCACCAGTACTCCCTGTGCTGAAAACAAATCTTCTCTTA